AAATTTCATCTTTGATGATGTAGTAACAATAAAAACAGCTGATTTCAGAGTTACTTCTTTACAATTTGAACCACATCTTCCGTGTTCAGAACGTGTTCTTTTCCAACTTTTTGCGGATTGTGCTTCACAGACGAACCCCACACAAGCGCGCTGAAATGCAGATTATTGGAACCCGGAAAGAAACATTTGGCATGAAAAACTATTTGAAAGATACATTAGTATAAATAAAAGTTCACGAAGTACTAGTATCATATATATTAATAATTTAAATATGGTATCTATTACAACCGACGTCATACATGATGAGCCGACTGGATAGGCGGCAGAGGACTCTCTCCTGTGATATCAGATGACGTAGGAAACTGGTCAATAAATTCTACTGCGATTAAGACCAGCAAGCGCGTCCATTTTGGAACTCAGTGGACTGGCTGAAAAATCTGGAGGACGAAGAATATAATTCTCGAAGGTTGGCACCCTGAATAAACTGCCTACCAAACTCCAAAAATACGTTAGGCGCGGGAAAAAACGGGACCGTAAATGCAGGCTACCGTGCCGACTTCCCAAAGGTGGAACTACCGACTCAGTGAAGATCAGGAGACGAATGGCAACCGGCAAAAGGATATAATCAAGATCTTCGTGTGCTAGCCACAACACCAGAAGTCTACTGTCAGACGAACTCGTTGACATCTACATCACTGAGGCGAATAAGATCAAAGTTGACATTTTCAATGTATGTGAAACCCGAAGATCCGTCGAACTTATCGCACGATGGAATAGCAACGATCAAATAATCTTCAGGAAAGCGTATGAAAAACGGGCTCGAACAAGCGGTGTTAAGATTCTTCGTAAAAAAGAGGGCTGCACTGCTCGTAGTCAGATGCGACTTCATGTAGTCGTACTAATTATGCGGATCACTAAAGAGAATCCAAGTTTACAGCCCAACACAAGTGGATGATGAAGAAGGGTAAAAACCGGAATAAAACCAACGTTCAAGTACACAATCTCCAAGGAGGTTTCAATGGCTTCATAGGAAAGGAAGCAACCGAAACAGAGCGTTTAGATGGCCGGTTAGAAAGTGGAGAGCAAAGCGACCGCAACTCCAGTTTCATAGCGTTCGTTGAAAGTAACCGTCTCCATTTCATGAATACTCTGAAAAAGCCAAGAAGCGACAGCATACCAGGAGGAACTTTAATGGAATGACCCTTAAAACAAATCGACTAGGTGCTGATGGACAAGGCGGATAATAAAAAATGCCTGTCATCGCAGAAAACAGTCTGCACGTGGTCAGACCACGGATTATTCTGTTCCTGTTCAAAATCGATATGGTTAAAAAAAGATCAGGTTAAAAGGGGTCGAAGACTAATGGAAGAGTATTCGCAGAAAAGCTTTCCCAGCTGAACCTGGCAACTGACTTTAGCAGAAACATCGATGCAGACTATCAGCACTTCATCGATACCATCAAAGCTACAATGCAGTCATCCAGCAGGGCAGGAATGTGGATGCGAAAGCAACGCAGCAGCCTTGCAACGAAGTTGCTAATGGCCAAAAGAGTGGGAATGAAAGCAGCGTTGACAGCTAGTACACTGCGTTATCCATATAAATCAGGAAAAAGATTTTGGAGAACTATGACTAGTACAGCAGAAGGAGTCTGGAAGAGGCCACTAGCCTGAAGGCTGCAGAAAGTGGAATATGCATCATAAAAATGGATTCTTGTAGCACTAAGGACAGTAGAAAAACAAAATCCACAGATATGTGGCATGAAAGCGATATGCACGAAGTTCTGTAATAACCTCCAGTCCTCGAAATCACAGGTAAACCAGAAACCGGCGCACGCTGACCCACAAACCGATGTGGATGTCACTTGGGAAGAAATAGAGTTGGCTTTCAAGAATGTGGAGTGGCAGGTGCGAATTAAAACCGGAACATCTCAAGTCAGGAGGAATGACCCTGCTCAAAGTCCTTG